TGCTGGCCACATGACCTTGGAGGTGTCTACGGACAATGCCGGCTCTTCGGCTTAGAAATGGAGATGAGCACTAACCCCCAGAATCGGACACAACTGGACTTAATGTCAGGGGAAAACCATCACTTTTTAACCTTAGAAATACACACATTAAAGCATATTTCCATAAAATACATATTAAAATACACAAAATAAAAGTTAGACATAAAGTGGAAGTTTAAAATTCATCATTAAAACTATTTGGGTAGGCTTGCTGAAAGAGATAGGGCTTCCTCCTTCAGTTTCTGATTTTTTTTTTTTACTGTTGTACTCTTCAGACATCTGTTAATAAATGATATGGGAATGAGAGAAACATCTTAACAGTTTCATCACATATGTATGCACATCGGCATTTTTCTTCAATGTAGAAATCTTCAATGGGTTTACCAGCAATAAATATCATCGATGTCGTTCTGTACTGTGTTCTGTTTTGAAACCAAACTAATGTTTCTTTTTTGGTATTGTCAAATAATTTTGTTACAAAAATTGTTGTGAATGTTAATATTTGGAAATGTAATTCTTGGTTTTGTTTGTTTTTTCATAGCTAATTCAAGTCTTCTTGGAGGCGGAGGTGGTAAGTTTGAATTTATTTTTCCTAAATATGGCAAGAAACCGACTATTTTTCTAAAAAAAAGCACAATATAAGCATTGCAATATTCAGTTAAGTGATTCAGTAATATATTAGAAATTATATCTATTATTTTAAGACTGATTACAATCTTTTTTGCCTCCTATTGGATAGATGTTGTCAGTTTTATGGTGTTTTTTAGTATATTCAACATGGAATTAATTCATGGCTTTAAAATTACCATATTCTGACAAAATTCCATCACAACCGCAAAGATCTTCAGGATGTATTTCTTGGTAAGAAATGGAAGTGCTTTACCTGCCTTAAAATACTGAAACACAAAATAATTTGGCACATAATATTGCCAGTCTTCCTGTTACTCGGAGCAATATTAACATCTCCCTCTCCACTTTCCATTCCTGTCCTTATTTTGCTTACAGTTCCATACCTCTAAAAACTACCTCAACAGTTTGGGGGAAGGGGGAAAATAATGTAAGGTTTTTGTTTTATTTTGTAGTCATCATGTTTCTGGGAAATTAGTGATTTGTTGAGTTGCTCATACTAAGGAAGAATGTGACGGCGCGAGTGGCGCCACCTATGTATAGAACTGTTAGTTGTAAGATTTAAACTGTTGTATCATGCTTAATCCTGCCCCTTTTGCCATGTGTCTGTATATTTGTATGGATTGGTTACTTGTAGCTGTCAATCAGCACTGTTTGGCTCCACCTCTTCCTGCAAGAGGGGAGAACTTCCTTTTCTTTTCATTCTGCGATGAGAGTTCCTGCAACATGGACGTGAGTAAGAGACTTCATTCTAAAGGACCCTGATAAGTTACCTCTTAGCACCAATTCTGAGGTTTTTTCCCCTGGGACTCATGCTTTATGTCCAGATCATCCTGGACGATACTGAGGAGACCCAGGCGCCTTCAAGCCAGTTCTTTTGGCACCAGAGGAAGATCCTGAATCTTCAAAATAGGCCATCTGAACTGGGGTTGTGGTTTGCTCCGGCATTCACAGCCATTGAGGAAAGAGGAAACTTGATGAGGCTTCTCAGCTTCAAACCCCTTGGACCCAGGACTAATTGAGACTGTAACATATATTTTCCTTCACCCCTCTAAAGTTTTCCAGCTCATTGCTTTAAAGAAATAACTTTGTGATCAATAAAACTTATTTTGAGTTATTTACAGCGTTTTGGGTTTTTGGGAGTTCCAGTTTCCTATAGGAGGGCAAGAAGCAATCCCTGGGGAAAGATGCCACGTCCATCCCTCCTTCATTAAGATTAATAGCCCCCAGGTGCAACGGCACACTAAGAGAGTAAACACTCTTAATTATAAGAGTGCTAAGAGAAGCCTTCTTTTCCAGAAGTGCTAAAAAGGGAAAAGAAGGAGCCAAAGGGTCTTATTTTTGCCAAGCTTGTAGTTTTCTAAAGAAAAAGATAGAATCAAAAGGAAGCCTGCCTTTGCCTGCAGAGGAGAAGCCCAGGCTTTACAAAGTGGACACATTTCCTGCCTTTTTGCTGCTCAAGCTCAGCAATTTGCTACAACCAACTTTTGCACCTCAGCCAGCTCATCCTTCTGCAGAGTATTGCTTTTGCACAGCTTCCAGCTCTCTGCAGGATTGATACTTTTGCAGGGTTTCCACCAGCTCCTTGCAAGCCTTTGCTGAAGTGGATAAATTGTAACAACCTGCCTTTGCAGCTGCTGCAAACAAACCTGCAAAGCTACAGTTATTTCTGCTCAGTTTCCAGCTCATCCTTTTGCACAGTTTCCAGCTCATCCTTTTGCACAGTTTCCAGCTCTCTGCAGGATTGATACTTTTGCAGGGTTTCCAGCCATCTTCTGCAAGCTACTGTTTCTTCTACAGTTTCCCGCCCTTTTCCAGAAGCAAGGCTTCTACAGTAATTGCAACATCCAGCCTGAAGCAAGCAAGCCTTTGCAAAGTTTCCAGCCTTCTGCACTTCCCGCCTTTTTTGCAGAGCCAGCCTTCAGCCCTCCAGGGTTGAGGGGTGGGAGGAGCCAGCCTTCACTTGAAGTCTGCCCAGCAACAGTTCCTGAGAGCCTTCAATAGGCTAAACAAAGCAAGGTTTACCTTTTAAAGAAAGCAACTATTGTAATTGTCTTTTTTCAAGAATTGCATTGCCTTTTTGTGTGCTTTTTCCATTGTATGCTTAAATTGTATTGCATTTGTACTGTTTAAAGTGTGGTTTAAGTTTCCTTTGAAATTTGCATTATGGCAAGTCAAAACTTTGAGGTCCCACAAGTTAGAGTCAAATCCCCCCACCCTGTCAGAGAAAGGCATCCCACAGAGAAGGCCATGCTCGGTTTTCTGCAGCAGGAA